CTGGAGACCGCTACAATATTCTCCTTTTTCCCACTAAACTACCGCAACTTTAATGGGTCGCCGGCTACATGGCTGCACGGAAAAATCCAGGTGCAAGTTCTTAATTGGCGGATTTTTAACCTAGATACGTCTTTGTTTTCTCTGAAGCATTTCTTATATGCATAATCTATTCCAAAAGTCGGGATTTTTCAATATCTCACCGATTTATAGCTATTTTCCTGCATCAATGAACAAGATACAATGTAGCAAAATGTTTTTATACCCCAAATGACCCACTACAAGAAAGACAGTCGGCCCAGTTTAAGCTTCATTCTTCGACGGGGCTGACTATTAAGTTTTTACCCATATTCCCCATAATGAGGCTTTAGCCTACATGTCAACGTTTTTCGTTCCTTCCATTTCACAGAATGAGCGGCAACTAAAACGAGTCAGGATGAAGCATGCGTCATCTCTGTTTCTAATAGTGGTAAACGTTCACTGTAAGTAGTTACAAAAATATTACCCCAACGGAACCAAACGACCTGATTTGTTATTGGATGAAAATATACCAATAATTGGAAGGAAGAACCCAACTTTTCACGTTTAGTTCTTTATAAAAACTGCAAACCTGGGCAGTAGGATTTTCTTATGCTTTCACGAAAACAGAAATAATTCCATCTCCACAAAGGTCAGTAGCTGAAGAGATAATTATATTAAATCAGGGTGCATGTCAGTGAACGGGAGTTAAATTCAATGGGCAGAAATATAAATCAAAACATTAAATAATGATACACTTCAGAGATGGTCCATTTAACTTCATTTCAGCTACAGAGATATGAAAGTCTATGGTTTCAGCCTAACCGTCTTTCAGGTAAAGTCGCTTCAATTTCATTTCAAATAAGAGAGAGTTTTGTTCCCAAAGACATGGCTCTAGATCGCCATGCATCCCTGGTAGAAGAATCCAAGGCAAAGACTGGTTCAGAAATGCCACCCGTTTTTCCGAAGGTCAACAAACCTTGCTCCGATTTTTTTAATATACTTTGAACTGATACTCGGCAAACTTCATTCCTTGCTCGCTCAGCGTTCGCCTTTCAAGCCCAGGCGGGGGGACAGTTTTCCTGGAACGAGGCCATCGTGGAAAAGTGCCTTGTCCCACCATAACAACTCGCAAGTACGCTCCTGGAGACATTGACGCCATGTATTGGTACTACGGAACAACAAGCAGCACGGCCCTGTTGATCTCGTACTTCAGGGGACGAGTTGCTCCTCAGAACGGCATACCACACGGCATCTATGATATCGACAGTGAGTTCTCTCTAGTCATCGAGAACGTCACCGCCAAAGACGAGGGAATTTATCACTTTAAGGTTAAGCCGCGTTTGAAGATGACAGAAGAAGGACAAGTGGAAGTTTGTGACAGAGGTGAGTACGGTGTACATGTTTATGCATGCGCATTGCTGGCAGCAAGATCTGTCATAAAACCAAACGAAGAAAGTCAAACTCATCGACGTCTATTCTTTTTTATATTCGTTAGATCCAACTGTCTGTAGTAACTTGAACAGTTTGGAACAGTAGATTTTATCAGCAATTGGTCAGACAAAAAAAAATAGTTTCCGTACGCAAGTATCAAATGGATTAATATTATATTTGTTTGCGTTTGCGTCCTCTCATTATTTCTAACTAATGATGCCTTCTGTTGGACTTTGCATGTGCATTCGTATGATTTCCTTGGACGTTGCTCAACTGTCTTTTGTTTATGCCTACTTGGCACTAAATGACTAAAAGTGTATTGGCCTGAATTTCATGTGGGAGGAAAAAAGCTTACTCAAACACAAACTGTCATTGAGCATATTGGCGCCAGATTTGCTGGCATCAGAATTAGAGGTCCTACAGTGGAAACTGTTCAGCGCTCACTAAAAACTGAGTCAGTTTCAAAAGTCAAAAGTAGGTGAATATGTAGGACATGACAGACCCGTAGTTGTTTGGATTTATAACTCAGCAGAGAATTAGAGTGTCATACATCAAACAGTTCAGGGTGAACCGAGTCTCTTTCCAAAATCTTACAACCAGGCTCTCGTTGAAAAACAACACCTACTCGACTTCAGCATCCATCCAAGTGAACGATGTTGAAGATGATGGAATCTATCAGTGTGAGGCAGTAGGTGTTGCTGTAGGCAGCGACAGTCGCATGAGAGTACATTTTAACAGCGGTGGCTACACCACTGAGACTTACGAAGTTCTGGCCGATCCTTNGGCGGGATGGTGAGCTATGGAGGACTTACAGCCAGTTCAGCTCCACGGCGGCTTACGGGGAAGCGGACTCATCGGCAAACCAGGGTACAAACTGAAGTCTTCAACTTGTCGGCAGGTTTTGCGAGCTATGTAGACTTTCAGGAGGAGCATTCAGTTAATTTATGGGGCCGTGCCTTGGCCTGATTTTACCCCTTAATTCTTAGTCTTTTTCCTGTTGTTCTGCTGCATTGAACCGGTTATTTTCACCCGGCCAGATCAGCAAAGTTGCTTCCTTCACAATATCACTGGTCTCACTTTAGTTTCTCGCCCCTTCCACCATTTCGTAAATGATGTATCCGCAGACTGAATCAACAACAACCAATCAATCAGCAATCAAAATGCAACAACTGAATTCATCCAGAGGTGTTTGGGATCATTTTACGGAATAACTTCTCACTTTTTCCTCATAGGAACAACTGCTTCGGCAGGTGCTGCATCGGCAATTGTCTACCAGCTGATCGAGACAAACTCTAGGACTGTTGCGGCATTGGTTATGTCTGCAGTCTCGCTCCTGTCAATCATGGTTTGGTTTGCATTTCGTTACAATGTAAGTTAACAGGCTCCACAGATTACAAGGGTCTGTTTTCCTTCTTCCATGCTAAGAATAAGTACTAATATTCTAACTGCGGGCAACACAGTTGTGTGTTTTCAAATTTATCCGGAACGTTAGTAGACGAGGTTTCTGTGAGATGTAGGCCTAAGGCTGTTTTTGAAGACGGGGAATTTCTGATATTTTGTGTCCTGGGCTCGGCCAAACTTCCATCGTACCTTTCTCATCTCTCATAATGAAGTTCAAAAACTGGCATTATTGTTACAAAATATACTGCACTGGCTGTTTGTTGTTTCCACAGGTATTATGCCGAACGAAAAAGCGAAATGAAGACGATGAACCTGCGCCAGAGAAGGTTTAAATGACACCGGTGCAGAATGTGCATCAAGAGACACCAAAATAAACGTACAAGAGGAAACTAAACAGAATCGAGTTGAAGTGATGAAATTTTAAGTGTCAAATGTTCCCAAATGGGGATGTCAACTGCAGTGGCTTAACTTGGGGGTAGATTTCCAGGAGGACACACATTATGTAACAGAGGTTTCAAACGGGAGCACCTGTTTGGCACGTGTCACCTTTCCCGTAGTTACGCCACTGGTCAAATATTCATGTACAGTACATATGCTTTGTTTACTCTGTCACTGCCATGTTGCCACACTGCCGAACTTATCATCTTACATTTTGTATTGCCTTTATCTTTGCCTCTGTACAGCATTTTCTATCATTTTCTAATTTTTTTGCTATTTATCTTTTATCACAATTCAAATCAAAACTCAGGAGATGCCCACACAAGATTAAGAAATTTGATACAAAAAGTCCTGTTTTTAAAAATTAATGCTGCAAATTATTATGCTTTCCTTTGTAAGGTTTCCTTAGTGTTTTAGTAATGAAAAATTAATTTATTTAGTTAATATCAACTCTCAAGGTTCTTAAGCATGCTTCACAGATCATGACATTAGAATTATAGATTTTCAAAGCTGGTATTTCAATTTTATTTTTAGTCTTGTAGCAATAGTGCATACAGCTGAGTTCACCACCCTGACTTTGAGTCCAAGGCAGAAGAAACCAAGTCCGGGTCCGCCAATAAAATAATCAGATGCTCTCTTGCATTAAAACAAAGCTGGCACGAATAATGAATGTACATCCACTAGGTACAAGCTATGGAGAGAATAGGTCCCATATCAGTAATTGAATAAAATTCAAAGGCTGCGTTTTACATCCACAACGTTGGATTTAAAGGGTGGCTGCAATACGTTTTTGTGATCTGCCTCAGATAACCTTATTTTTTGACTTGTGTTTCATTATTTCAAAGGGTATTTTAATGCTTTTTCGGCTTTTATGCTAATGAGATTTCCATATTCATGAGCAAAACTGTGATGTCATCTCAGGAAGAGGCCTCAGCGTTACATTGGTTTGTAAACAAAAAGTCCTTCATTTTTGTAGATATCCCTGGACTCAGTTTTCTTTCCTTTGATGATTTATTGTTGTTCGTGTGCATAGCAAAATGTCAATCCCTCTCTCAGAAATGTTTTCACTACGTAAGTTCTGGGTTTACAATTTGAACAGAAACACCTATGCACTGAACCATGTCTTCCCTACATGATGTTACAGCAACAGCGCCCTCAGTTCCATGGATAATTTTAATTGTTCAAAAACATGCCCTTTTAAATGATATGAGTGTAAAAGAGTTATCATACAATGAAAAAGAGAAAAATTGTGTACAATAGAAATTCATTGCACCTGCACTCTGAAAATGGAGGTCATTGACTGCACATGTACATGTACACCTCTTGGATGCAACACTTCGTGCAGTTACTGGTCCGCCGTCAAGCTGACGCTTAGAGAGTATGTACGGATCGGGAACCAGTTTAGACCTTGTAAACCATTATATATATTAGGGAATTCCCCGGGCAAAGGTTATCGACGCAAGTCGTTTCGGCAGTTTGTTCTCAGAGGCCCCAGCATACTTTCTCGTGACGACATCAAATTGTAAGTCTGTTTGAACAAGGCCTATCTATTGGGTAAGCACAAAATATGTGGCATTGCATATTTGCTCCGGCCTTTTGTAGTTGATACAACTTAACCGTATGCATGCAATACGGAAGTCTACAAGGTCATAGTAATGAATGCTAGCCCAGTCCCCGTTAGTCCCAGCTTCAGTACTAAACCATGGTTAAACCCAGCAAGATATAGGACGGAGGGGTACCCCCCACGACATGTCCAATTCCTATACACACTCTAGACTATTGTTACCTAACACGTCCCCCTACTCCCAAGATATCTGTAAAGAAGTCCTGAGATTCCGATTAAACAATGACCAACACAAAGGTGGGGTGGTGCTCTCCGACGGTCCCATATTTTGCTTCATATGCTATGTGTAGGCCTTGAAATCTTCATTGTGTACTTGGCATATGCAGCAAGGTATGAGACAGAGAGAACCCCCCCCCTGCTTTGTGTTGGTCATTGTCTCGCAGGAATCTGGGGAATTCCTTTCAGACATCTTGGGGGTGTGTTAAGTAACAATAGTCTGAAATGTGTATAGGGATTGGACATGTTTGGGGGGGGTACCCCTCGGTCTCATTTCTTGCTGGTTATAGTACTTGGAGTGCAAACCTCGCGTAAGCATTTCTGTTGAATAGCCATGGTTGTGTCGCAAAGGAAGATACAACATATTATCCCTTTTGATGTAGCCTAGGCTTGCGTGCAGTATCGATCAAAATCTGATTTCATCACAATACCTGTACTGTGTACATGTACATGTACACACATCTACTGTAATGGGCCCATTCACCATCCTTATCATCTCAGTAACTGTAACTCGAATGATAGTAATCAAGCAACAATAACCACAACACTAACGGTACACAGTACGTCATCAAGAAGACTAATGTAATGTCTTACAGAGCTACGGAGAATTGAGAAAATCGAATGGACCTTTCCCATGAAATATGCGAATAAGGCAGGCGCTTGCGCATTACTACCACTGGTTGGCAAAGTCATGGTTGCTTATATACAATACAAATCTCCATGCGTATGTCACTATCGCCGTTTCTGTGCTAGTACAGTTTGACATGAGTGCCAAACTTAAAGACCAGGAACTGTTACTTTTCAACCTGAGCACACTGAAAACTTCACTTAGTTTCGAGAAAAGCATGCTCAAGTATCGGGCAAAGGCTGTAATATGGTTTGATTGACTGTCCGAAGCTCCACGTTATGGTTTAGGCCTAACAGCAGCTCGCCTACGCTACAGACGGTGCTAAATGTAGTGTTGACGGGTGCACTTCAAGTTGCCAACCAGGGGTAGTACCGTATATGCGCCAGTCAATTTTGCATATCCATGGAAAGGTCCATTGGGGACGTCTAACTTGGCAGCCATTTTGAAGCTTGCTTATTAAACGTGTTTCCAGCAGTTATTCTATGTTTTCGAACTATGAGCATGCCCTCGCCCATGATGGGGACCAAAACTGCAGTTCCGTTGTGATGAAAACTGTGTTAGCACTGTTATGCACTAATTCTAATTGGACATCAAGAATTGGATTATGGTGTATATCACAGGACACTTGTTTCTAAGATAAAAAAGGTAGATTTTTTATTGTTATTGGCTATAATGACTTCTGAATAAGAAAACTGTGGTGAGTTGAAATGTGTCAATTAGGCATTAGCGTCGATTTTTGGACTGTAATGTTCTAAATATCCTGTAGCCTAAACAGAATCCGACCCGAAACCCATCTGAGCTCAAATCTGATCCGCCTCATCCGGCCCTATCCTTCATCCAGTTGGATGTATGTGTGACTCTCTGGCTCTCAACCCGACCCGACAGGATAAGTATGAGTTCAGATGACTGCAGCCTCGTTCTCATGAGCTTCAGGACGTTCCTTCACTGGCCCTGGTTGTACGAACACGACATCCATATCCATCCATATCCATCTTTTGGTGGTGTGTGGGGGGGGGTTCAAAAACGAATACTGCTTTGGGCTAATTCAACATGATGTTGGGGAGAAAAAGTATCAAAGCTTTACGGTCTCGACATCCCTGCTTTAACTTTGTGGTGTTGTTTTATTATAGGTTTGTTGCAATAATATTTGATATATAAATATAAAAAGGGAACAAATTTGACGGGGGCAAGTTGCCCCCCCCGTTTGATACGCCACCCATTGTAACCCCTTTTCTATACTTTAAAGATGTACGTATGCCCTATACTGTAACTTTTTAATCTTAGCAGTATATGTTTCATTGAAAAAAATAAAATACATCATGTAATGCTCTTTTAGGCGGTTTGCTTTGTAACAATCAGGTAACTTCATTAAATAATACCTTTTAAAAATGTAAATGACCTCGGTATATTGCAGCTTGAAAGCTACCGAAACCAGTCAAAATGGAGCGCCCTTCACACGTGACATCATGCCTAGTGGTAGTATACATGTACCTACAGGTTTGTTGTAAGTATTCATCACATAAATCTCCCTTTAAAAAAGTAACATTGTGATTCTTTTTGTGAGGATGGTAGAGTTGGCAAGCCACATTGAACTGCTAGTTACAAAAGAAACAACCATTTCCCCTCAAAAAAATAAAACAAACAACTGATACACCGAGAGTTAAACTACATCTTTTGTTTATAATTATTTACTGATTAGTGAGATCATTCAGAAATAACAGAGATAAACGCAAAACGAAATCTGGGGTAGTACAGCGGCGTGTCTGTTGATCTCAGAGAGCAAAGCAAAAGCGAAAGCGACATGATGATTGGAGAGAAAAAAATATCAAAAACCAATACTCGCGGTCCTGACATCCTCGCTTATGTTTCATGGTGTGGTTTTATTAGGGTTTTGGTGTTAATATTTGATAAATATATATACCAATTACTTTCTTACCAATGAAGTATTCTTTGTCAAAAACAAAATCCGTCGGGGAGGGCAAGTTGCCCAACTGCACCCCCCCTTTCGGATACGCCACTGGTATGTATGTCTCTTTAACTCCGTAAACTCTGCAAAGTTTGATGGATTGCTTGTCTCTTGGCTTAGCAAACGGTTTGAATGATGCACGGCGATGCGTCCAACGGTGTAAAAGGGCGATATGACCCCGCCCCAACTTTCTACTTCTGCGTAAATCAGAATTCGACAATGCCATCCTGAACGACGACTAATCCAAAAGTATTATTATTATTTTATTCAGAAATCAACCAACTGAGCAACAATCGTACACAGAGAAAACAAGATACGGTTGATTCATTCTGGGATAACCCAAGAAAGCCGATTACACAGGCTTATTTCCATTGGGGTCCCTGTACTAAGGGTGTAGTTCCTATATTCAAAATTTAACATGAAAATTAGCATGCCGACGACAGCAAATAGATATACATGATTTTGTTGTATTCTATCACCTTCATTTTTCTTTTCTCTTTTACCGCCCGACCCAACCTCCATTTCTTTCCTCCAAAAATTTACGTTTCCCCAATTATTCTGAGATATTTTGCATGAAGTTACGCTACGTAAAATTGCCAGTCATGTTTGCGAAAAAAAATGAAAATCTAGAAGCAGGATTTAAAGTCATGCTGCCATATTTTAATGTCGTACTGTATTTATTTCTTAAAGGTTTCATTACAATTTTAAGTTATTCGAATAAAAATTTGACTCCTCGTTCGGTTTTGTTAAAAAGTCATTCTTTTTTCATCTGGTATTTGAAGCATTCACGCGAACAGACAACGAGGAAATTATTTTCTTAGAACGAGGCCACCGTGGGATCGTACCTTGTCCCCCCATCACATCTCGCAAGTACACACCTGGAGACATTGACGCCATGTATTGGTACTACGGAACAACAAGCAGCACGGCCCTGCTGATCTCGTACTTCAGGGGACGAGTTGCTCCTCAGAACGGCATACCACACGGCATCTATGATATCGACAGTGAGTTCTCTCTAGTCATCGAGAACGTCACTGCCAAAGATGAGGGAATTTATCACTTTATGTTGAAGCCTCGATTGCAAATGGTTGAGGAAGGACAAGTAGAAGTTTGTGACAAGGGTGAGTGCTCTGTGCTGTAAATCTGAATCACTTTTTTCTCTCTCTGCAATATAAAGCAAGATTATTATATATTACAATGGGGTATCGAATTCTATTTTCAAAAGTCCATTTTTTGCTTTCATGGTCAGGATTTCACTGTCCAGAAATTCTATTTATAGTCTGTTTGCCATCAGCGTCTAAGTTTTCTGTTAAAATTTTCAGCCTTTTGCATTTTTTACTATGTAAATGCTAAGAGTGAAAAATTCACTCTCAAAAAGAGTGAGTTCCTGATAAAAACCACTCCCTAGAGAGTAAAACTCACTTTAAAAAGAGTGAAAACCACTCCCTAGAGAGTAAAACTCACTCTAAAAAGAGTGAAAACCACTCCGAAAGAGTGAAATTGCCACTCTACGAAGGAGCCACACAAAGGAAAACTAAAAAAAAGAGAAGAAATTGTCCTTTTTATTATGGTTCCTCTCTTAGAGTAATTTTTCTCTCTTCTGGAGTGGTATCACTCTTTTCTGTGGATTATTGAGGAACTCACTTTTTTATGAGAGTGCGTTTTTCACTCTATTACCTTTGAGAGTACCTCCCGCCCCCTTTGCTTTTGAACTGTTTTTTTTGCTTTTGTTCCAAACAATAATTGTTTCCTGACTTTTTTCTCACCTCTGCCAATTATCAAGTTTCCTCAAGGCAGCGGTATCCTACAGTCATCGAGTGTGATCCAGGCTCATCAGATGCAGACCACTGCGAGATTCGTGTGGACCAGGCTACTCCAGAGCACAATCTGACGTGTGTCGTGGACCAAGTTAAACCTGCCGTGGAACTGTTCTGGATCCGTCCATTTTTAGGCGGCTTCACGGTACTAAACGCTTCTACCTCGGTCAAGCCTGTTAGTCTGCCGGCCAACACAGGTAAGTGGTGCCCACTGAAATCAACCTGGCACATATGAAGTATCTCTGTAGCTATTTAATCTGGACTGATTGTCTGAAAATGATGAACTTTAATACCAAGTAGAGCATTTTCAGTGTGATTTGCTCCACCAGTGAAATATCAAAGGCAGTTCATGACCAGTGGAGTGTTTGCGTGGTACCCTTCAATCAGGTTCATCGTTGAGAAACCACACCTACTCGACTTCAGCATCCATCCAAGTGAATGATGTCGACGATGATGCAGTCTATCAGTGTGAGGCAATGGGTGTTGCTGTAGGTAGCGGCAGCAGCCACATGACGGTGCACTTTACCAAGACTGTCCCCACCACGGCTAGTTATGAAACACAGCCATTCAGCAATCCAGGTATGCGTTATAAGGATCTGGAGTTATCAGGAAGGACACAATGTTTTCGTGAAATGACCATGGCTCGCATTGTCTGAAAACAGCCTGTGCTTCTGTAACAAACTACTGAAACACTTATAGGTACATCGCACCGACTGTATCTTTCCACAGGGGATACGATTAGTTGGCCTGATAGAGTGGACATACATACCTCCGAGTCTACTTTGAAGCCCCCTTCTTTAATCGTGCCTCTATTTGGGATGTGTGTGACTTTGCTCCTGCTTGTCGTGTGGATTGCGTTTGCTACCACGAGAATTGTAAGTATAGTAAAATTATTTTTCTTTTCTTTTTTCTTTTTTTTTTTTGGAAGGGAGTGTTGACAGATCTAAATTTTCATGCGTAACTCGGTATTTATTCATAAAACACTAGCTCATGCGAGAAAGGGTCGCTTGAAACATTGCAAGAAGTGTTTTCGTGTCAGTGATGATGACATATCACATCAGGAGTTCTAGAACCCACAAAAGGTTTGGCAGGAGGGGCGGCTGTTCTTAAATCAGTGTAAGATTGAGCAACGAAGACAGTGTTACAGTTATCAAATCCATATTTGGATGTCTCAGTTCCGCTGATGAAGGAGGCCTATCCAAATGTCGCTGGTCCGATACCGGGTCAATTTTTGTACCATTTGACCCTTTCCAAGAAATCCACCAATCTGTTCACGCTACTTTGTTACCCTGATCATGTCGTGTGAAAATGTAGATTTGGCTATTAAAGCAGGTTGCAATTGTTTGGTTTTTTTTCACTGCAGATGTGTCGACGAGGCAGTGTATACCTGAATGAGGAAGTGTTTGCTATGTACTTTAAAAGCGCTTGACCCTGGTCATCATATGGGAGATTTGCCCAGCAGTGCCTGCTTAAATAGAATGCTATAAGCTTGAAACATGTTTTAAAAATTAAAGATCGGCATGCTTGGCATATAATACACATGCTAGTTGGTGTGTGTTTTATATTGCATACATCTGTCTAAAATGCCAAATAAAAGAACTTACCAGGATTAAATATCTGAACCATTTTATTGAAACCATTAACTCTCGAACAAAGGTGTCTCGTAAAACACGTACGGACTGGCACAAGTTGGTTACTCGTACACTTTACCTCCCTCGGGTCTATTAGTGACTGGGCTGTGTTTCCTTTGGCCCACATACGTACACGATATCATTGGCGGTCAATATGTGTATACTACATAGATCTACATGCATGTACATGTGTGAGATTAGAATGTCCCAATCCATTTCTGGGGGTCTAGTACTGTATGTTTCTGTGCTGCGTGCTTTACATAACTTTACCCCTCCCCCGAAAAAATTGAATGAAAAATTTCGAATCAGAAAGAAATTATTTTCGGACAAACTCAATGAACAAACAAAATAAACCTTCCGCCATCTTATCTATTTATTTATTATTTTATTTATTTATTTATTTATTTCTTGTGGGTACAAGCTCCTTACTGCCCCAGATGCATGCGCCTTGCCGTGGCGGGGTGGCTTGTGTGCTCCAAGGATCTCATGAGCTATGCCGACGGGAGCCGCGTACATGCACTGTACTCCTGGCAGGTTTAACCAAGCCGGAAAGGTCGTTGAGGGAGGAGCCAGACTAAGCATGCATGCACCAAAGTCCTACATCACTGGTCGCATCAGTGTATACCCAAGACGATGTCGCCCTAGATCTGCTTCCGAAAACTCCTTCTTTCTTTGCGTTTCTCAGGCTGCTTGTGTGGTCTCCCCATGGAAACCTGCAAAGTGCCTTCATTTTGATGGTTAATAAAACTCCCTAGACAGAAAGGTAATTTAATCAGCCTTGGGGCAGAGGCAGTGGAAGTGGTCGAACAAGATAAAGATGACCAAGAAGATGACCATCGCGAACTTACAAGAGAAACGAAACCCGGTCATCGGCTACTCCCAAACGTGAATTGAGAGAAATCCGATTTGATTTGTGCTTCGATGAAAAGCGAGATCCTTTATCAAGAAGATGTTGCTAACCTTAAACTTTGTCCAAACACCACGTCACTGCAACCTAAAAGCCTGAACATAAGGAAACAACGCTTTTAGATCACTGCTTCCCATAACGTGGCACGCAGATTTTAAGAGGCCGGCCGATCTCAAATCTGTAGGCCTATGTGGTCCTCACATAGAACGTGTTAGCAGTGAGATTACTGGGAGGTGGTTTGGCGGGAAGAGATTTCAAAAGAAAAGTCTTTGAAGATTATCTAGAGTAATAACTTGAAATATTTCGGAATATTTCGTGCATTTAGAGTGTAATCCATCAACTTTTGAACCCGCTGAAACTTTGAAAAGTGACAGCTGGCCTCGAAGTGCCAGTCGAGTGCCACATTGGCGTCATTTCGAAGGGATACGCCCCCCAGTAGATGCCCGTGCGCTCCCCGGCCCGGGTGCACCCCTACCCCCCATTTGAAATCTGTGAATCATCTCCGTTGAAATGCAGCTGTAACTTACTTTTCTGTAGTGCCTCTGTTTCCCTTGAAAGAGTGTGTGCACTCCATGGTTTCTCCCGGACATACGCCGTTGCTGCATTACGCTTGGAAGGCACGTAGAATTCAAGGATATCGTCTCCTGCATAGAAAAAAAAGAAAGGTTTATTTACTAAAAAAACATTCACAGTTTCCTTTGTGTAAAAGCATAGTGAGTGTAATGTTTATGGCACGTTTAAAAATAAATGTAGGATATTGTAAACTATAATCGAGTAATTAAGTTTGTTTAGATAATGGCATGGTTAATCGCTATAGAGTCTTTGAAACATGCGCTACAAGTGCCTAACAATCTATCTGTAAAGAAGTTTTCCAAACTAACATACCAACTGCATGCTGAAATCCCCAAATTTTCAAACTAAGAAAACTCCTCAGAAAAAAAGAACTTGGACATACATGAAAATATACATAAATGGAGTGAATAAAAAAACGAAAAATCTTTTACCTGGTTTGGTACAGACTGTGCTGCAGCTGACTAATAAATAAAATTGTTTTATCTTGTCAACACAGTTGGTCTTAAATTGCTTTCTTTCTCGCTTGTTGTGAGAATAATGTTTATTGATACATTTTCTCAAAACTTGGTGGTGCATGTGACACTGTAATATAAACTTTTATGTTGATGAGCAGCTCCTGGTGCAGGTGTTAAAATGGCTTTATAATGCCTTTCTTCTGCCCCTCTGATTTTAATTAAAAAGCATTGGGCGTTTTTTTTTATCGTGAGCGTCTTGGATGCAACTTACTTTGTTTGGAGGCTCTTGGCCGTCTTCCTTTCGATCGTTAAAGGAAAATATTGAGGGGATCTTCTTCATCTAAAGTCTGAATGTTAATTTCTCCATGAAATCGCCTGTGATTCTGGCACTGTCTTAGTCAGGGGGGTCATCCCCTAATTAAAAGATGAGCCTGGGAGACACGTGATGTTCGATTCGGATTCAGGTTTTTTCTTTTCAAACTGGAACTTTACAACACGAACCGACGCGTTGTTTAATATGATGCTGTAAATACCCCCACATAATGCGTGTAGAGAACGCGTTACTCCACGTTATGTTACGTCGGCCTATTCACTGAATACAGGCAATTTATTATACAAGTTCACCAGCAATGCAGATTTACTTGTACCTGTAGACTTGTGCCAAACGAAAATTCACACGTGTAGTTTTACTACACCTATCCATCTCACCTAAAAATTGAACTTACGAGACGTTTGTTTATCCATTTTAAAACACCGTGTTATACATGAAAATCAGCGAGCCAGATTTCTCAGTCCCATGAGCACCCTACACACACTAACCACACATGCATATACATGTACACTTGGACGTTGTTTCAAAGAATCCGAACCGTCCAACATGGGCACCACTGTGACGTTGCAGAGAAAGGCACACCCACACACACACATTAAATGAAAAACTTTTATTTAATATCAACATCTTGTGTTGTGCATATCATAGCGTATTGTGCGTTCGAGAGCTTTCTTTGCTGAGCCACCTTTGAAAACCTGTGACACTCCATGGCAAGTCCATGCGTTCCCAGCCAAAAATCAGAGGTAATGTTAACCCATCAATTAAGAGATCAAGAATTACCAACAACACGCGCCCTCACTGGGTCCATAGGTGTAGTATTTCTCCAGTTATGGAATGTATCAAAATGAGATACAACCGATTTTGATTTTCTTTTTCAAATTAAATGCTATTCGTTAAATGAGGGATCTACCGTTAGTTAAATGAAAGGAATATTAAATTCAGAATAATAAAAGGTCGCTGGGAAATATAAAAAAATGAAAACAAAACACAATGGCGTATGGTGCAACTATAAGAGAATGCCGATTGTATTTTAACTAATACGAAGTGTCTTCATTGTCACTACAGGCTTTCACTGCATGAACCATGTATCTTTGCAGAAGGTCATGCGCACTACGGCCAAGAATCCAATTTTTTATGGAGCTCGTGTCCAAGAAAACATTGGGTGTGGGAATTCCCAAGTACATGATGAC